AGTACCTCTATAAGTGAAAAACATCTTTTAAGAAGACCTTTCCCTCCCTTTCTTCTTCCCTTCTCTCACTGAAATACACACATGCATCTTATTCACACACAGGCACGTACAGACAGACAGACACACACACACACACACACACTGCCTTGAGTTATTTTCCCTTGAATTGATCAGTTATATAAATGCAATGCTGAGCACAGTTGTTTTTAAGTTGTCCTAACCTTTTGGTTTATTGATTTTTTTCAGGCATCCAGAGTGTTTACTGAATGTTAGAAATTAGATCCCATACTTATTTTTCTGTCCTGTCCTATTTTCATGGGGATTGGTTTGCTTGGCATTCTCTGTTCATGTAAAAGTATTTTAAATTTTTTGTGGAAAGTGTGTTTAGTTCTTTTATTTTCTGATGGTCTATTGATCTCAACATATTGCTGTTTTATGCTTTTCATTTTTCTTTCAATGTAATTGCATTTTTTGCACCCAAGAAATCTTCATCTGTAGAAAATATTGCCAGGTTTGTCAATTTCTTCATTCACAATGGTATCATAGTTTCTGTGATCCCTGCAAAAAGAGATTATTATATACTTCAGCTTCAAAAAGAGGCCCAGTCCATTCAATTTTAGAGTCTGCTGGCTAATACTGACTTCCAGGAAAAGTTCTCACATATAAGCAAAATAGAGTTCGAATGCAGTGAAGCTAGTATTACAAGAAAAGGTGTGCCTGCTAACCACTCCAGGGTTCAGGGCAAGAGCTCACAACTCTCCCCTTTATCTCCTTCCCCTGGATGCTGGCTGCTCTTTCTTTATGAGACAGCCACCATGTCAGGCCGGGCATGGTGGCGCACACCTTTAATCCCGGCACTTGGGAGGCAGAGGCAGGCAAATATCTATGTGTTCAAGGCCAGCCTGGTCTACCTAGCAAGTTCCAGGCCAGCTGGAGCTGCAGGGACACCCTCTCTCAAAAAGACCAAGAAAAAAAGAATGCACCCACTCACTATATGTTCTGTGCAGCTGTTTGATTTTTTTCGTTAGACAAACCCAGAGGAGATGGATCAGCCAGTAGTGTCATGTGCTTGTAATCCTAACATTTAGGAAGAAGAGCCAGAATGGATAGACAGTTTGAAGCCAACCTAGACAACACTGCAAAACTTTGTCTCAAAAGACAAAGAAGAGGAGGGAGGGAGGGAAGGAAGGAAGAAAAGGAAAGGAAGGAGGAAAGGAGGGAGAAAAAGAGGGAAGGAAGGAAGGACATGATCAACCCACTCCTGAGCACAGATTCCCATTTGGAATTGGAGTGTGCCTTATGTATGCCAAGGACATTTTCACATTTTTTCAGCCTCGCCCCCTGGAGGGGATGTCTGATTCACAAGTGAGTAATATGTCAGCTTTCTCTCTCCTCAGGTCTTCTTTGGTAGTTCACATTCTGGCTGCCCTGTCAGGTTCATCCTTTCCAAACTCTGTGTTTGAATGTAGCAGGAAAAGATTGCTAGGCTTAGTTTATTTTAACTTCATATATGGAAAGACATGGTTTGTGGGTTTATTTTTTATTCAGTGTTCCGAGCTTAATTGAACAAAATCTGGTAGGGCTTCTACACAATCTGAATTACAAATGTCCATCCATCCATTAGGCTGTGAAAATGCTTTTGATGTCAAGCTTTTTAGCATGTTTTTAACAATGGGGCAGTTCAACCTTCATATTTCCAAGGATAACAAAACATTCTTGCCTGAGCTACCACTTATTAATGTAGTAGCTGTCTGTCCATCAATCCGGGCTCTGACAGTTCAGTGAAATGTTCTGAATGGTATTTTTTCCACAGTGTGCACAATAGTAAAACAAATGTCCATTTATTCATTTTTCCCGGAAGTTGAATATTTTCAACCATTCTTAAAAGGACAAAGATGTTTGCTAGAAGATTATGAATTTAGGAGAAATACTCTTGAGGATAGAATAGTGTTCTCTTCTTTTTTGATCTTTAATCTTAACATATCAGGACTGGACAATGATCTTAATATCATATATTGCAACTATAAAATGCTGAGAGTCAGTCATTTTCAACTTATAAAATGATTATCCGAAGGAGGGCAGTGATACATTCACATAACACACTAGAAAGTATTTACAGCCACCCCTAGACACATTCATTATAACTCCGATATTATTCTGGTACTGAGGTAACTTGTGTTTTCCTGTAGCCATTTATGTCTGAATTTTTAATAAGTAAGCAAATCTAGGGACACCTTTTGCCTGTTTTTAGCATTTCATGGCATGTACAGGTTACTGTCAGCAGTACAACTTTTCACTTAATAAAGAAGAAAGAATTTCTAACCCTTTCACATTCTTTTATACGGTACTTAAAAACGTTTTTAGAATCAGTTTACCCTGCTCATCACATTTAATACACAATGTGTTTTAGATACACTACAGCATCATAAATTTTTTTATTTGCATGCAGTCTGCAATATGTATCTCTTAGAGAATCAAAACTTAAAAATGGTAATGTTAAGCCTGGTGGTATATGCCTTAATCCTGGCTCCTCAAGAGGCTGAGATAGGAAGATCACAAATTTAAGGTCTCCCTGGACCACAGAATTAAGTTCAAAGATTGTATGGGCAATTTAGCAAGACTCTCTCAAAGAACAGGTTTGGAGGTATAGCTTAGAGGTGGAGCATTTGCCTTACCTGAGCAAGGCCCTTGATTTATTCTCTAGCACTACAAAAAAATTCAATTAAAATAAAAGGAAAGGAAAAAGAAATAAAGAAAATTGTTTTACCCCAAATATAAATAGGTTCCACCCATCCAAGTTCTGTTGGATGAAAAGGTGGCTATTCCCTTGCTTTCCCTTATTTGCTTACAACTAAGACTGTCATTTGCAGACATTTATGGAACACATACTAAAAAAAGAATTTAAAATTTGGAATCAGATTTAACGGGATCTCTACACACTACCTAAATTTCTGTTGGGAATATGGGCTCACTATTTAAACCAATGGTTCCTGTTTGTTTTCCTTTCTTAATACAGGACACCCTTACTGTGGCCTCTGTCTCAGAGGAAAACTTAGACTTCAAGAACTTGAAACTGAGTTAGAGGAAAACCACAAGATGACAAAAGGGTGGGAAAATAGCAAATAGCTCTATGTAAATTGTAACTAGAAGTCAGGTGATGAAACAGTCACCAGGTATTCAAAGTGGTCTTCCCCTGAGCCCTGGTCAGCTTCCTTGTTTCCACTGAGAGCCAGCAAAAACTGGCTAGGGCAGAACTTAGAATAATATGCATAAGAGTTTCATGTATTGGATGCCTCAGTGTGCTGCATAAATGAGTGCAGTATATACCGTAATTTATCTAAGACCCTCATGGCCAACCCACAAAATACAGACAAAAGAATCTGACCTTCATCCAACATCTTCATAAAGGTGCAACCAAGATTCACATCACATTCACGTCTGTATAACACCAGTGTCTCCACTGCACCCTACCTCTTTCCCAGAAAGTTTTGTGAGCTCTTGGAAGGAGTGTTATAAAGAGACTTTCAGGCAAACTACTCTTCAAATATTACAAATAAGACTGCCTCTTAGGTGTTTTGAATTATTTAAATATGGGCATACAAAAGAACAGTGGGGTGGATTGAAAAATCCTGAAACTTCTGTCCGTTCCTTTAACCCACTGTTACAATCGCTGTCCTGAGAGGGTCGCTGGTTGATAATTACCTAGCATTCTTAAATCCTTGAGTTTGATCCCTACTGGGAGGAAGGGAGCCAGGAAAGGGAGGGAAGGGGAAGGGAAGAAAGGAAAGGAGAAGGAGGGGGAGGAAAAAGGAAGAAGGGAGCTAGCTAATTAGAAAGGATTTTAATATGGTATATTAATGATCATATAAGAAATGTTGAGTCTTGAGGCATAAAACTGAAATGTTTAGTAAAACCTGCTTTGAAATTGCTTTCTCAACAGTCATGTGGTTCTGTTTACTTTTCAGTAGTCTACAGATTTAACGTATAGAATTTATCCTGTTGTCTTCAAATCAACAGGCTGAACACTGTAAGGGTAGAAGTTCTCAGTGATTGTCAAGTAATGGGTACGCACAGGTTCAATGTTGTATGACACAGCACATTATGACTCTTCAGAAGTGGTGACTGTTTACAAATACAGATTTGAAATGCCATCAGGAGCTTCTTGTTGGAATCTTGGTGCTATAACTTGATTATATGATCCTGCTTTTTCTTATTTGTGGGTGGGGGTGAACACGTGTGGATGTCAGAAGTCAACCTCAGTGTTAGTTCTACCTTCTTTGTAACAGGATCTCTTGTTCACAGTTGTGCATACCAGGCTAGTTGGCCTACCCATTTCTGAATATTCTCCTGTTCCCACCTCCCGTCTTTCAGTAGGATGGCTACTAATCACAGACATGCATGCTACCATGTTCAGCTTTAGGGGCAGTCTAGGGATCTGAACTCAGGTCTTCATACATGCATGGCAAGTGCTTTATCTACTGACATCTCAGCCCTTATGATCCTACTTTTAAAGTAAATGGAAATAGTGTAAATGTAGAAAGAACCAGGAATTTTCCTTAGGTTTTCACTTGTGCAAGTCTTCCAATAGATTCAGCAGTAACTATTTTTATGGTTTGACTTCCTTAATATGTCAGCTCAGCCATTTTCCAGAATTATAAATCCCTTTTATATACTTAAACATATTATTCAAATCTTTTACAGTTTTATATCTTGACTCATCACTCAGACGTTATTTTCATCTTGACATAATGTTGTTATGCATTGTAAACTATTTCAGAATTATATAGTAAGAGTAAAGGCCAGGATCGCTCTTCAGAAATCTTAACTAATAAACATGTTACTGAGTGCCAAGTGGAATATTGAAAGTATTCAAGTACACAAAGAAACCATTTTGTCCTATTTATCTGAATATTTTATGTAAAGTTGCTTTTATGTGTTTGACCCTTGTGTGTAAACTCACAAATTTCTAAGTATTTTCTCTTGGATGTTGTTTTCTCCAGATTTCAAGTAGAGAATCATTATGAAACTGTTCACCAAAAAGAGAGAAGGAAAGAAACATTTTACAGGCTCCTGTTGGCTTAAAACTTAGTGGGATACAGGTACTCAAATGATATCAAGAACTACCTCTTTCTCTCTGCCCAGGCATCTGCCCACTGCCTCAGCTTCACACCCAGGCTGGCTTTTCCTACACAGTGGCAAAGAGGGCCCTTGGAAACCCTAATGCTTGTGATCTCTGAGCATGAATGGTCCTCTCCCAGCATCCATATCAAATTCCAGGAAGACTGATTGTCTTGTTTTGGTCATGTGGTGACCCTTGCTGCACTGGCTTTGGAGAACAGAGCTCACTGAAAGACCAATCTGGTGAGCATATTCACCCTGTGGACTATGTGATTGATTAGCAATCCCAGTAGATAGGGGAGAGAGGGTTTTCAGAAGAGCTGTCAGTAGAAGAGGCGGTAGGTGCTATGTAAGTAAAAATGGGTGCTCACTAAAGTGCCTTTTGAATAAAAACTATTTCTGGGCAATGCAACTAATTTGAAACCATTGAAATAAACATTACACATTTTTTTTTAAAAAAATTAGAAATACAGGGAAGACCTTGATTGCATGTGGAGTACATAGCTGGTATTAATCTTCTTTGAACCAGTTTGACATCTAAAAATTAAGAATAATGCTTACTTTATGATTATAATGAGAAGAGATGATATAACTGAGTGTACCTTGTGAACTCAGGTGCCTTCAACATAATTATGCATCATTATGATTTCTAAGAAAATCAGTTCCTAATGAAAGCACAGTGAATTCTGTCAAAGTTTACAAAACCTTCCCCTTTAAAAAAGAATGTATCCTGGGGCTGGAGAGATGGCTTAGTGGTTAAGAACACTGGTTGTTTTTTCAGAAGACCTGGCTTCGAATCCCAGCA